TGTCCATGCAATGTTGCAAAGGCATATCAACCAAGACAGCCCCACAACATCCAGAGCCTTAAATAAATCAGGGTAGATCTTGTCCGCCCCCGGAGTCCTGCCACCACGTAACTTTTTAACTACCTCGGCAACCTCAGCCAATTAGTAAAGTTCTCTATCTAAGGAATATGTTATGGAAAGAACAACCCCAAAGTCCCCCGACTCAGTTTCCTCCATGGAAGATGTGCCAGTGGGATTGTGAAGGTCCAAGAAGTATTCCTTCAACCTCCCTATAACATCACTGGTTGAGTTCAGCAGCACCCCACCTTCACTGAACACAGTGCTAGTAAAGTGCTGCTTTCCCCTCCTCAGCCGCCTGATGGTTTGTCAAAATCTCCTCTGAGCCGACCAAGAGTCTTTATCCAAGGCCTCACCATACTCCATCCCACATCTGAGCTTTTGTCTCAACAACAACCAAGGATGCGGACCACTTGGCCCTCTGGTACTCCTTAGCTGCCTCCGGAGTCCCACCAGCCAACAAGGACCGATAGGAGTCCTTCTTCAGTTTGACAACCTCCCTAACCCAGGGTGTCCACCACCGAGTTCGAGAATGGCCACCGCGAGAAGCACCGACAACCTTGCGTCCGCAGCTCAAGGCAGCTATCTCAACAATTGAGGTGTGGAACATGATCCACTTAGACTCAATGTTCCCCGCCTCATCTGGGATGTGGTTAAGGTCAAGGTTTCTTTATTGTCATTCGAATCATATGTGGTACAAATGTGGATTATCGTACTAGAGACATAAAATTATCGTATTTTGAGGGAAATTATCGTACACCCGTCATAAACAAAATAACAAATTGATTGATGCACCATAGTAGTGATGGGTCCGCTTCCAGATTGACTCTGCTTCTTCTTCTTTTCTTTTTTTCTTTTCCTCAGTCATGGGGCGAGCGCAGCGGACTATTCATCCAATCATGGCAGTTGTTCTGAGGCAAACGCAAATACGTCACTCGTAGATAACATTTAGAAAAGCACAATTGGCTGGAATTTCCAGCCAATCGTGCATCTGTTTGCGGACACAGATGCCTTCAGGGTTCACAAAAATAACTCCGACAGACAGTTGCAACAGGCTGATGACAACCAATTACAACCACACATTCACGGAATGGTCAAATTATCGTATATTTGGCTTTTTTGGGGATTATTGATCGTACATCGTACAGAGGGCAAAATTGTTATACAAATATGATAATTATCATACACCTGGCAACACTGGTTGGACAGCTAACTTTAGTCATCTTGTTAGCCGCTAAGGACCATGCCTTCGATATGAAAAGCTGCTGATTTATTAATGTTGCGGCATCTCTCACTGTTCCTCTCATAAAGCACAGCACGACTAATAAATGAGTTTTGACCCATGGTTTACCCATGGTTTATAAATTCAAAAAAGTTTGAGACAAAAACAACTGGACTTTATTTATAACAGAAGACGTTCCAGACGTCCTCTGTAAATTTACCTATCAGGAATGTCATCAATGTGACCAGAGGGGCCCATCTGTGAATTAGATTAGAAAAGATCCTTAAGAAACCCCTATTGTGAGGTGTGATAGGTCAATCTGCATATGTATGTATCTTACATTAGCTTTATCAGAATCAGAATCAGAATGCCTTTATTGTCATTACACACAAGTACAATGAAATTTAGCGTCACTCCTTTTTTCAGTGAAAAACATGCTTAAGAAAAACACACTAAAAATACAAAAAATGTAACGCAATATATCCAACATTTTTCTGTCAGGTCATCTGGACAGTTTATTTTTTTTGTGCTGAAACGTTGACTTTGTTGTTTTCAACCAGTTTGACAAGACTGTCAACAAGGAAGAGGGCCGGCAATGGAGGAGGGGCGTACCAAAGAGACCGTCTTATCACAAGCAAAACTGGTTTGTTCCACTTTGGAGTAAGCTTTTGGTGGAAAAACAGTTTTGTTGTGAGTTTCCTTGACTGATGAAGTCTTCCGGACCGAAGGCGAAACGTTTCAGCACAAAAAAAGAAACTGTCCAGATGACCTGACTGAAAAATATTGGATTGTATACCTGGATTATTGAGCATGGAGTTTGTTGTAACGCAATACAGATATAATAGCACTATGAAAGTAAAAAATACAAGTATTTCACAATTATATTGCACGTTATGGATATTAGTGAGGTAGTTAAGGTGATTGAGAGTATGAAATGTCAGTAGTACTGCACAATAGAAGTCCAGAGGTTTAGGAGGTTAGATTATTAAATCAGTGCATATGTGAGTTCAGTGTGGTAATGGCTTTCGGGAAAAACTGTTCTTGAACCTGTTTGTTCTTGTTCTGATGCACCTGTAGCGCTTCCCTGAAGGTACAAGTCAAACAGTTCAAAACCCGGGTGTGAACAGTCCTTGATTATGCTTTCTGCTCTGTTGAGGCAGTGTGATGTGTAGATGTCCATCAGGGAGGGGAGAGGGCAGCCAATTATCTTTTGTGCTGTCTTGACTACTCTCTGAAGCCTCTCCCTGTCAGCCAGGGTGCAGCTGCCGTACCATACTGAGATACAGTATGTCAGCAGGCTCTCGACGGACGAGTGGTAGAAGGTCAACAGCAATTTGGTGTTCAGGTTGTGCTTCTTAAGTACTCTTAAGAAGTGTAGTCTCTGCTGAGCCTTCTTGATGACCGCTGTGGTGTTCTCTTTCCAGTTAAGGTCAGCAGAGATATGGACACCAAGAAATCGGAAAGTGTGAACCCTCTCCACGCACTCACCATTGATGTAAAGGGGGTCTAGGTTGGTGTTGTGCTTCCTGAAAACAATAATTACCTCCTTGGTTTTTTTGATATTCAGAGCCAGGTTTTTCTCTAAGCACCAGGTTGCTAGCTCCAGGACCTCCTGTCTGTAAAATGTCTCATCTCCCTTAGAGATTAGTCCGACCACTGTGGTGTCATTGGCGAACTTGACAATGAGATTGTTGTTGAGGGCCGGGCTGCAGTCATGGGTGTAGAGACAGTACAGCAGGGGGCTCAGCACACAGCCCTGTGGGGAGCCAGTGCTCAGCGTACGACTGGAGGAGAGGTGGGGACCAAGTCTTACAGATTGGGGCCGATGGGTTAGGAAGTCTTTTATCCAGGCACATGTGAGGGGGGGAAGCCGAGATTGTTCAATTTATTATAAGAATGTCCGGAATGATTGTATTAAAGGCCGAGCTGTAATCCACAAAGAGCATTCGAACGTAGATGTGCTGTTGTTCCAGGTGGCTCAGCGCGGTGCGATATGCAAACTGGTAGGGGTCGAAGTTCAGAGGGAGATAGTTCTTGATGTGCTAGAGAACCAGCCTCTTGAAGTACTTCATGATTACCGGAGTGAGAGCCACTGGTCGGTAAACATTCAGGCTGGCGATTGTAGGCGTTTTCAGCACTGGGATGATAGTTACAAATTTTAAGCAAGGAGGGATGACTGCCTGGGCCAGGGAGAGATTGAAAATTCTGGTGAAGTTGGGGATGAGCTGGAGGGCACATGCTTTGAGCACCCTACCAGGCACTCCATTTGGGCCAGTAGCTTTCCTGGGGTTCACTGATTTGCGCGAACGTCTAACATCATGCTCCCGTACAGTGAGTGGAGTGGTGCAGTAACTGGGTGGGTGTGGGGGCAGGACTGGATCAGATGAGTGCTGCTGTGGAGCTTCTAAAAAAGTGTGCGAAGAAGCAGTTTAGCTCCTCTGCTAGTGATGCACTCAGGTCTCTAATGACTCGAACCCCACACTCACTGTTCTTTGAATTTAGAAAGATTCTCGGATGAGAAGTGAAACATCTTCTGTTACAAATAAAGTCCAGTTGTTTTTGTCTTGAACTTTTTTTTTTTAATTTACCATGTCCTGGAAGACTAGACTGGAATAATCTTCACCAACTTGTCTCCTCTGTTTGGTTGTTTTAACACCCCCACCACCACCACTTGGAGAAGCAGGAGGCGGGGGCTGTATGGCAAGCACTTTTAACATAAAATCGAGTAGCCTGACTATCTGTAGTTACATTCTAGATATCTAAAATTGAATTTTGACTAGGAACAATTACATTCTGACTAGTCAGAATAACAATTCAAGATATCTTAAAAGGAATTTTGACTAGTCAAAGTGTAATTCAAGATATCTTAAATGATGTCACCTGATTCGTCATTTGAAGGGTCAAACATCCATAGTGGGCCTGTGATCGTAAGATCGCCGGTTCACGCCCCGGTACCGACAACATAAAAAAAATGTGGGTGGGGTAGATGAAGCATCCACTTGCCCCCACCCTCATTCACCCCACTCTGGGCCCATGAGCAAAGTCCTTAACCGGTATGGCAAGCCCTTTTAACATAAAATAGGATTCACCACGCTTACATTCCAGATATCTGAAACTGAGTTTTGACTAGACATATTGGTTATTTAAGATATCTTGAATTGCATTTTGACTAGTCAAAATGTAATTAAAGATATCTTGAATTGTTATTCTGACTAGTCAGAATGTAATTCAAGATATCTTAAATTAGCATTCTGACTAGTCAAAATGTAATTGTGCCTAGTCAAAACTCAATTTAAGATATCTAGAATGTAACTACAGATAGTCAGACTATTCGATTTTATGTTAAAAGGGCTTGCCATATACCCACATCTGCTCCCTAAACAGGTCTCTCTTGAAAATGAGTTCCCGTGGCTCATTGAGACTACCTGGATAAATAAAGGCTTAAAAAAAACTTTATACTTTGATTAATGATTTGATGTAAACCTCTACATTGGTTCCTTGTTACATATATTTTTTTGTATTTTTATTTATTATTATTTATATTTTTTGAATGTATACACTCAACCTGTGAAATTTATTTGTTACTTTGTATTACATTGTTTGCCTTGGTATGTTTGAAAATTGTGCATAATTAAAAAAAAAACAGTAGTTAGTACTGAGCATGCGCATTAATGTTCAATGATGCCTGTTCGCCTGAAGGGGGCAGCAGTGCGCCATCTTACCTTTTTCAGGTTCCGAGAAGAAGAGTAGAGGAAAAACGAGTGTTTTGACATTAGCATATCTTCTAAACACAACAATTGTGGAGTTTAAACTTACTGAAACACGATCTTAAACAGATAAAAACAAACCGCCGGAGTATCCCGATGGCGGCTGTGAGCAACATGAGCAGAATTTATGGGCTCTGTTTGCATTCAGTCCGTCAATCAGCAGCAGGGCTGAAGACATCGAGGCTTATTCAGCGAAGATCCTTCAGATTCACTGTGAGTAGCGACGGTTTAATAAATGTCTTTATGCCGAGAAAAGCGCTCTGCGAGCTTGCAGTCTGAATTTAAAGTTATTTTTAGGAGCCCTGATCTAGGCCTTTCCGACTGCAGACGTAAAACTCAAAACGTGACAAAGTTAGTAAGGTGCAATGAGGCGATTTAATGCAATGACATCTATCATATGAATTATGAATTATTCGAGTACAGTATCTCAGTATTTCATGAATTTACAAGAACTCAGGTCACCTCTTCAGTTATCGCGAGATGTTAGCTAGCAAGCTAACTTTTTTTTTTAATTTGTCTTTAAATTAGCTGTGCAAAAGCAAATTGATGCTAATATATGTTTCTAAATATAAGTCATGATAATTGTTTTTTTTTAATTCTCAAACATCGAAATTAATCGTATGTCTTGTTCTCAAGCTAATAGCTAGCCGGCTAAAGTTTTGGCTAGCTTCCTTCCTATTGGTCAAACGAAGGGGCGTAAGGAAGAATCCTGTCGGGGTACCAGTTCCTGTAGAACACCGGTCAGCCCGGTCAGAAGTCCTTCAACGATTGTCATATAAAGTTCTAGGATAAATGTTTTCAAATTGAAAGCTGTATTTTTTTTTAATGGTAGAAATTTATCTATGAGAACAAATACTAAGCATTTGAAAACATTTATTTGAAACATTATTTTTTAAAACAATGGAATCTATTTGTTTTTGTTGTATCTAAAGTCATTCAACCGTTATTTAGACAGGTTAATCCCATTGAGCCTCGAGGACAAGAGACATCTGATTTATTACAGCAGTCGTTGTTAGCCATTGTTGTGACAACAATGGATTACAATGACAACAATAGACAGTCATAAAATAGGCATTAGGGATACAAATTTAAGTTTTTTTTTTTTTTTTTTTTTAAACAAATCAAAACAAAATAGCAACCAAAAGGACAATCAAGAGGAATAGTAGCAACAACAACAAAAAACACTGTTAAATAAAGTAATTTTGAATATATGTACACATCTATTTATTAGTCACTCTTTTTAAGTTTCTGTGGGGACCTCAGCAGAAGGCAGCAGCTAAAAGAAAAACATTTGAATCTTGTGTTTATTTTGTTAAAAATTTTAATTGAAAGTAAATAGTATGTACCGGTAATAACTTTGTGTTGGAGTTACACAGAACTACTAATGGCTAACCATTTCTTATGAGGAAAAATGTTTAAAATCATGCAATTTTTTTTTACTTTATGTAATGCTAATAAATAAATACTCAACCAAACTGAGACATTTTAAGATCGTGCAATACATTTAGATTAATTTTTAAATGCTGCAAGACTTCCTGACTTCATTTAAAACGTATTTAAAATTTAATAGACGTACATGATTGTTTGCGGTGCTCAGGTTTCTTTTAGACGATGTAAATGTTCACGTCACGGTCGTTGAGTGAGGCACTCCCTCACAGGTCCACTGCACCTGAGCTCATAAAACTGACGGAGGACTGTTTACCTACAAACTGACATTAACATTTTGTATAGGAAATAATAATAATCTCTTTTTTTTTGTGACAGGGCATTTAATCAACAGTTGATTCCGTTGTTATAAAGTACTTCATTTTCACGGCTGCTGTGTTGTTTTTATCGCCTGTTGCTGAACGAGAAAGGCAATAATGTTTTTGCCCATGTCTGGGCGTGAGCGAGTTTGATTGTAGCGTTAGCAAAATATCTCGTGACACCCTCAGAAAGTCATCATGGAATGTACGTCTCCAGCTGATGTACCTGCTATTGTCAGTTCTATTCAAGGTGGCCAATCAAACCGAGGGTGTGAATAAAATCATGGCGCTAATTAACCAGATAGGATTTGTTTTTAAGACTTTGACGTCAGTCAGTTAATGAGCGCTGCGTGTTTTCCCTCTTTCAGGCCGGGGTACAGCAACATCCTGTTGACTCATCGCTGGAAAAGCCTCAGTTCCCCGGAGCCTCAGCAGAGTTTGTGGACCATCTTGAGTTCATTCAGCCCAATGTTATCTCGGGCATCCCGGTGTACCGGGTCATGGACAGGCAGGGCAAAATAATCAACCCGTCTGAAGACCCTCAGGTACATCCGTCCTACCCAGGTTCCTCATTAGTCACACTTTTATAAACTCTATTCCTGACGCTGTTGTTTGGGTGTAATTCTTCCTGCTCAGCTCTCCAAAGAGACGGTTCTGAACTTTTATCAGAAGATGACGTTGCTGAACACAATGGATCGCATCCTTTATGAGTCTCAGAGACAGGTATGTGGTTTTTCTTCCTGCATTTCTTGGTTTAATAATAAAACATTGTAAATACAGTATAAAAAAAGGCATAATTTGTTGTTAAAGGGTCGAATCTCCTTCTACATGACTAACTATGGTGAGGAGGGGACACACATCGGCAGCGCTGCAGCTCTCGAGCCAGCAGACCTGGTTTTTGGTCAATACAGAGAAGCTGGTAAGGTCTGGGGTTTAACCCAGGGCTATTCAACTGGCGGCCCGCGGGACACTTCAGTTCGGCCCACCAATGAGTTCATAAATAAAATTTATTTTCTGTTTATTGCATTTATAATTCAATGCAATAAAACAAACAAACATAAAATGTAGCAGAGCTTTGTAATAATTGGTTTATGTGCATAATGACTTTAATTGCTGGATGTCCAGTCCCTGAGCTGCTGGCTTCCAGTAACTGTGACCACAGAGGAATTTTGTTGAATAGCCCTGGTTTAACCTGTTTTTCCAGTTTTATTTCAAGTTACGTTTAGGTTCCCATAAAGACTTTGGTTGCATCTGACTGTGTCAGGGGGCCAAGATGGGGTAGAGGTAGGGCAGCTGACTTGGGATTGAAAGTCGCAGTTCGACTTCCAGCCATTCCCACATGTCGTGGTGTCTCAGAGCAAGAGTGGGCACTTGCATAGCTGCCCACTGCTCCACCTGGGTGTATCTCACGTCACGTGGGATGGGTTAAATGCAGAGAACCAATTTTGCCATTGTATGGGAACATACATCCCTTCCCCCGTTAATAAAATATCTCATGAACCGCTTGATAAATTTTAATAAAACTTTAGGAGGCGATCATTGTCTGACAGCTACAACTAATGCTGTACGCATGCGACGTCGCCTCCAGGTGTTTCCACCATCTTGATAAATGAACAAAACGGTTGACACAGTCCTTTAATTTCGCCTTAATCTAAACTGGTTATAACAAATATGGTTGTTTCTTTTATGAAACGCATCAAAAACAGCTTTAAATTAAATTAAACTCAGTACATTTGTATATAAATATCAGAAGTCGTCTCATGGTGCTGAATCTGACCTTTCGTCTTCTAACTGCTCCCGTGCCTCACCGGATCTAAACTGTCTCTCTTCTCGACCCTGAACTCTGAATGAGAGGGTTTCATTTCTCAATTTCAAAAGTTTTCAACTGGTTTCTGTTTTTGCATATCAAGATGGCGGCGCTTTCTTGTGCAAACTATGAATTTACTTTTAGAGCGAACGTGATTCAAGATGGCTGCCAGAGGCAACAGACACAAAAACACACACAAAAAAATGGGCTATAACTAATTCAGTTTGACCTAGAATTTGATGTTGTAGTAGCTGTGATCTTTGTTTAAAATTCTGCTAGCTTTTCAGGGACACCACCAAGTCATTGGTTCAGGTATGTTGACGACACCTGGGTTAAAATCAAATCTCAGGAAGTCCAACATTTTACTGACCACATCAACTCTGTGGATAAATACATCAAGTTCACTCGAGAAGATGTAAAAAATGGCAGGTTGGCTTTCTTGGACTGTGAGGTCTCAGTCTCTGATAGAGGACATTTGCAAACCGAGGTGTACCGCAAACCCACCCACACAGACCAGTATTTGCAGTTTGACTCCCATCCCCCTTTGGAGCACAAGTTAGGAGTCATCAGGACTCTGTACCACAGAGCAGACAGCATCCCCACTAACTCAGGAGCCAGGCAGAAGGAGAAATCCCACACAAGACAGGCTCTAGAGCAATGTGGATATCCTAACTGGGCCTTCCTGAAAGCAGAGAAGAAACCCAAACAAGACTCCAGTCAGCCAACAGGTGAAAAGGAGGAACCCAGACCAGTGGTCATTCCGTATGTTGAGGGAGTATCAGAGAAACTGAGACGTTTATTTTCTAAACATAACGTCCCAGTGGCTTTTAAACCCCAAAATACATTATGGCAAAGACTGGTTCATCCCAAAGATCCAGTCCCCCGGCACAAACAGAGTAATGTTGTGTATGCTGTTCAGTGTCAGGAGGGTGATCAGTCTTACATCGGAGAAACAAAACAGCCACTGGCCAAAAGGATGGCCCAGCACAGAAGATCAACATCATCAGGCCAGGACTCTGCGGTCTACACTCATCTCCAGGTCAGCGGTCACTCTTTCAGGGATGAAGATGTTCACATCCTGGACAGAGAGGAACGATGGTTTGAGAGAGGAGTAAAGGAGGCCATCTTTGTGAAAAGAAATCGTCCATCATTAAACGGGTGGAGGCCTCCGGGTTCAACTGTCCCCCTCTTACAATGCTGTGATTGCTAGTATCACTCAGCCCTCTGTGAGCAGTAAACAGCCATCAGTGTGCTAATGATCCATTGTTAGGCTGATGGTCCTTCTTGAGCATGTGATCAGCTGGTTTTGGTTGTCAGCAGCAAACTGGTTGATCCACTCTGAGAAGGTGCTATTTAAGAGACTGAGCTGAATACAGCACCTCAGACTGAGGAAGTCTCTCGGATGAGAGACGAAACGTTTCTACATTTTTTTTGCTTTGTTTTGTTTTTTTGAATGTCCAGAGGACCAGATTGAACTTTTTTAGATTTTTCTACCTGGATTATTGAGCATGTATCAGGATATCTGCTTGTAACTGTTTGGAGTCAACTCTTGTCTGTTAGCAAAATATCTTATGAAGCACTGGACTTTTTACCGTAAATGTCATGGAAAATATCTTCAGATGTACATCTACAGCTGGTAAACTTTTGGAGCCAGCTCAGTTTCAATTGTCCACTGCAGCTAATCAACGTTAGACAACACAGGAAATGCTACTCATCATAATTCTTTCAAGGAAAGTTGAGCCTTTGCTTTTGTCTCCTGACTCTTGACTTCAGGAGAGTCTCTGCGTAAAACAAATCTTTGTGGCGCTATGCAAAGCTCGGCGTCGTTGCCTGCAGCTCCTTCAGCAGCTCATGCAAACATCCAGACCGATGACTTGTTTTTGAAGTCGCACACGGCTGCCATTTGAGGTGAACATTGTCCTGTACTGCTGAGTGAAACATGCCACAAGTTTGCAGCGTAGCTGTTTGTAAACTCGCAGTAAAAAACAAAAATAGAGACAAAGCACTGGAATTATCTTCAAACTTCCTCTAATATAAACGAAAGGTTAATGTGAGATCAAACATGTCAAATCGAACATTTCAGTGTTTGAATTAGACGTGAAAAACTGATTTGCAAGGTGGGCAATCATGTAATTGTCTCTGTGTTTGTTGTGTTAGCAAAATTTCTCTGAACGGATTGTATTGAAACTCCCAGAAAAGACAAAGATGTCTCTGACTTTTCAGTTTGATTCAAGATGGCCGCCGCAGCTCACCCCAAAAAGTCTCTGTAACTGAGTCACTTTTATGAATATTGAGCTGAAATCTGGAGTGGTAGTAGCTGAGAGTCATCCCCAACACACTCATCCCTGACGGATCGCGTTTAGAACTTCAGAAGGCGGCGGGTGATATGCATTCCTTCAAGGACTTCCACGTCCCTCGCTAGATTAACCTCGTCAGTTTTATTATTCCTGATAAGAGTTTGGTGAACATGACGCGACATGAGCGCCCATTTCCTTTTAACCCACCAGGAGTTCTGATGTACCGCGGGTTTCCTCTGGACCGCTTCATGGCTCAGTGTTACGCCAACGCCGACGACCTCGGGAAGGGCCGGCAGATGCCCGTCCACTACGGCTCCAAAGATCTAAACTTCGTCACCATCTCGTCTCCTCTGGCCACGCAGATCCCTCAAGGTGAGCTCCGCTCTCGGTCTTTACTCCCTCCGGGGTTTGAGCTTGACGGCGGCTGATAATGTTTTTGTCTCAGCGGCTGGCGCTGCGTACGCCTTGAAGAGGGAGAACATGAACCGAGCCGTGATCTGTTATTTTGGGGAGGGAGCGGCCAGTGAAGGGGACGCACACGCCGGCTTCAACTTCTCCGCCACCCTGGAGTGCCCGCTGATTTTCTTCTGTCGCAACAACGGCTACGCAATCTCCACCCCCACCAACGAGCAGTACCGAGGCGACGGCATTGGTGAGCCAGAGTTTGGATTTCTGCCTGAACTGACCCGAGTTCTGCGCCCGATTGTTCACGTCTTGTTTTCTGTTTACCAGCTGCTCGCGGGCCGGGCTACGGCATGCTGTCCATTCGTGTGGACGGTAACGACGTGTTCGCCGTGTACAACGCCACGAAGGAAGCTCGCCGCAGGGCTGTGGCGGAAAATCAGCCTTTCCTGATTGAGGCCATGACCTACAGGTGAGTGAGAACGCTCTGATGGGTCATACCTAGAAATTATTGTGTGAATGCTTATTAAACATTCACACTATTGTAATCCTGTTTATATTTATTATTCTTCCTACTTCTTATAGTTACCTTAAACTATTCTGTGCGTTTTTCGGCATCTTTCTCGTTCCACAATTTTTATGCTCTTTTCAACAATTCATGCATCAAAACATTCAGCTCGTTCAGGAACATCCTGCTGTGACTTTTGGTATTGGTGCAACTTTAGCTTTTTGAAATATTTAGCCTTTTCTGCCAGTTTTTTCCTCACAACCTTTTACTGCTCCTTTCACATTTTGTTCCTGTTAAGGTTCTTTCAGCTGCCTTGTGCAATTAAAAAATAATAATTCAGCTACTTTCAGCTAACTTCAGCTGTTATTTTGGCTGTTTTGTGCTCCTTTCAGCTTTATCCTACTAACTATAAAATTGTTGTGCTTCTTCTAACTTATTTCTGCTAATTTCAGCTTGTTATACTCCTTTCACCTTATTTCTGCAAACAAACTATTTCTGCTATTTCAGCTAATATTTGGCTGTTTTTATGCTAATTGATCTTTTTCAGCTACCATAATTCCACAATTTTTGCAATCATTTAACTTTTTTCAGCCTAATTCAGCAAAACTGTGCTCTCTACTTCATTCTGGTCATTTAAGCTTCTTTCTGCTTTTTTAGCTACTATTCAGATTTTTTTTTTCTTACACATTTCTGCTTTTTTCAGAAAATTTCCACTTTTTGTGCTCAGTTCTGTGTCTTTCAGCCTAATCGGGCACAATTGTGCTCACTCCACTTCCTTCTGGTAATTTAAGCTTCTTTCTGCCTTTTCAGCTCTTTTTTGCTAATTTTTTGTGCTAATTTCTGCTTATTTAAACCAAATTGCCCTTTTGTTTCGTTTTAGCTGATGTTTTGCTACATCTGGCTTTTAGGTACACCTTTGCTGCTTTCTAGCTTTTAGCTACACTTTTATTGTATTCACTTTAAGCTACCTTTTACTACTTTTAGATAGCCTTTTGCTGTTTTTAGCTAGTGTTTAATCTTTTAGTTAAATGCTGCTATTAGCTAGCATTTTTCTACTTTTGGCTTAAAGTTAACTTTATTTGCTTATAGCTAGTGTTCTACTTCAGACACCTTTGCTACTTCAGCCTTAAGCTACTGTTTTAATACTTTTAGGAAACTTTTATCTGCTTTTAGATTTTATCTAGGATTTTGCACCTTTATTCTATGAGCTAGAGCTAGAGATGCTCGACCTCCAGACTGAACACTGGACTCACTGAAGATCAGGTCTCTCTTGTAAATGAGTCCTCGAGGCTCAATGGGATTTACCTGTCTAATCTAAATAAAGGTTGAATGAAAAAAGATGAATTATTATTATTATTATTTAAAGGGGCCATGATGTCAAACTTAAAACGGTCGTCTGAACGCCATGATATGGTTTGAAAGAGTTTACTCCAGGAGCTTTCCAGACGTACTGATATGCCATTCTGAAACACGCTGAATGTAAACAAAGCACTTTTATCTTCGTACTTTGACCAATCTGAGGATAAATACGTCCCAAAACATAAAAATGATCAGACTTTCCCAAACAGCTTCATCATGGTCCTCATTGTTGACCATTTTTCAGTCAGGAGGACCGACCTTCAGCCAACATATAATTAGCTGAGTTGACTTCAGGCCCCACCTGTCCAACGCCAACATGTGCAGCATCAGAGTTTCACCTCAGGCGGTATCACAGACAGTCACAGCTTCAAGTATGTGGCTGAAGTATTTAACATGGTGCTGGACAACTCCCATATATGAACCACGCAAAGGAGTGTTTAGATGACAAGTAGGTCACTGGGCTTTTCCACAACAAAATGTTCTCTTTGAAATTTGCTTCAGCTGACTGGCTCTTTCATTGTCTTCTTTTGCAACTTTAGCTTTTAACTAATTGACAAACAAACAGCTAGGCCCAGACTGGAATTGTTTTAAGATGGCAGCTATCCACTTTTGCCTTGGCTCCTCTCAGACTAGCCGTTAGCTCGTCAGTCTGGTCAGAATTAAACTGTTTATTCAAGCTGAGATCGTTCAAAGATCTACCTGCAACAGGTAAGATATTAATTGTTTGTTAATTGTTCTAAACAACTGAAATTAAAATTTAATCTTTATTTATAAAACATTCACAATCAGCTCTAATGACTCACAGAAACCCAGATAGTTAATTTTAAGGCCGTAATTCGTAAATATTTCTGACAACGTGTAAAAATGTAAATAAAAACAGAAATTAACGGTTTGCAATGCTCATAAATCCATATTTTATTCACAATGAAACATAGTAAACCTATCAAATGTTTAAACTAAGAAATTGTAAAATTGTGAGGAAAAGAAAGGAAATTAAACTTGATGACAGCAAAACATCTGAATAAATGTTCCTCCGTGTGGAGCATCCCCTCTTCTTTTAACAACAGCCTGCAAAGGTCCAGGTGTGAGATCGGAGAAGACCAGTTCTGGAGTTTTTGAAGGAAAATGGTGTCTCGTTCTGGTCTGATGGAGGATTCTAGCTGTTCAACAATCGTCTTCTTTGCTGGATTATTTTACTTCATGATGCGTCAGATCAGGTGTTTTCAGCTGGTGAGAGGTCTGATGCAGAATGTCTTGCTAAAATAAGGCCTTAAATAAAAGCCTTTCCTAATAAAACTTGTCCGGCTTTTGAAATCTGCATTCAACATCATCCAGACAGATATGTTCACCTCAAACTTGTCCTAAATGCCGACAAAACCAAAGGGATGCTTTTTTCAAATAGGAAGTTGGTCCCAGCAGTTCTTCCTCTGATCTCATCCTCAAATGGTGTCCCCATTGGGTTTGTTGATTCCTATAAATATTTGGGTATCTTGATCGACTCTCATCTCTCTGTTAAGCTCCATGTGGAAAACTTGGTAAAGAAACTGAAAGTTAAACTGGGTTTCTTTTTCAGAAACAAATCCTGTCTAACTCTGAATGTTAGGAAACGCCTTGTATCTGTGACTTTCCTTCCCTCCATTGATTACGGTGACATTATTTACATGAACGCTCCTACAAGAACCCTGCAGATGTTGGATGCTGTCTATCATGGTGCACTAAGATTCATAACTGGCTGTGATTATCGTACCCACCACTGCACCCAGTACTCACTGGTTAACTGGACATCATTAACTTCATGCAGACTCTCTCACTGGTACATTTTCATCTTTAAATCACTTCTTGGTCTGCTGCCTTCATACATCTCCTCCTACATGTCTCTGTGTGAGTGCAGCTACGGAGTGCGCTCTCAGGACATTATTACCTGCAGTGTTCCCTCAATGAGGACTGAACTAGACAAAAGGTCCTTCTCCTACTCCGCTCCTGTTTCCTGGAATATCTTACAAAAACATTTGAAGCTCTCGACCTTGACCTCTCTAAGTGGCTTTAAGAATCTGTTGGACTCCTGGCAGGGACCAATGCTGACATGTTCCTGTTTTTAGTTTTTTACATTCGCCTTAGAATCTAGCTGTTTTTTTTGTTACTTTTCTTTTCTTTTTTTAGCCATCCTATTTGTAAAAAAAAAAGTATGATTTTTTTTTATAACTGTTTATTGTTGTCGCTTTTATCCATCGTCGTCATTCTTTGTTGAAATCAGGTCTCTCTTGTAAATGAGTCCTCGAGGCTCAATGGGATTTGCATGTCTACATAAAGGTTGAATGAATGAATGAAAAAACTAGATAATCATGAAAAAGTTTAATTTTCTTTTGTCAGTCATTTCATAAAGTGAAACTCGTGTATTACATGGATTCATTACTCAAAGAGTGAAATATTTCAAGTCTTCATTTCTTGCAATTTTTTATGATTATGGATTACAAATAAATTAAAAAAAACTCAAGTGTCTCAGAAAGTTAGAATATTGTGAAAAAGTTCAATATTGTAGCTGATTAACTCCTAGACTTGAGCTAAAAATGTCTCATTCCTCAAGTCCAGTCACTCCTGAACCAACGTCAGAAGCATCTTACCTGCTGAGGAGACAACGGCCTGGACTGTTGCTCAGTGGTCCAATGTTTGAGTGTTTATAGTTAGTGTAAAGGAATCAACTGTATTTTATTCTTGTATTTTTAGAACAGATGGTTTTCAGAGATCTTGTGGCTTTAAAGTCATTTTACGGTTTGAGGGCTACAAAATATCTTCCTAAAAGCTGCTCGGCGTTTTGACCTTGTGATTGTGTTTTGTTTAAAAGGCCTCAGTTAAAGTTTTAAAACATGTTCCTGACGAGCAGCGGGGATTTGAATAACAAATCTGGAGTGAAAAATTCTCAAGGAGACTTTTAAAGTCAAACTTCAGTAAAATATTTCTGTACTTTTCTCAGAATCGGGCACCACAGCACCAGCGACGACAGCTCGGCCTACCGCTCCGTGGACGAGGTGAACTACTGGGACAAGCAGGACCATCCCATCTCCAGGCTGAGGCACTACATGACGGCCCGCAGCTGGTGGAGCGAGGACGACGAGCGGAGCTGGCGCAAACAGTCCCGCAAGACTGTGATGGAGGCGTTCGAGAGGGCCGAGAAGCGCCTGAAGCCCAACGTGGAGCTGCTCTTCACAGACGTGTACAACGAGCTGACGCCCGGCCTGAGCAAGCAGAGGGAGGCTCTGTGGAGGCACATGCAGCAGTACAAGGAGCACTACCCCCTGGACCTGTACGAGAAGTAACGGCGCCGCCGCACAAACATTAGGTTAGGTGGACAGAAGTGGGCCTGAAGTTAGCCGCACGCCACATCCTGTAGTCAGACTGGAGTTTGATGTTTCACGCAGGGTTTCTGCACAGCCCTGAAAAATATGGAGTTTATCATTTTTCAAGTCTGGATCAGTACAGAATAAAAAGGTCAAAACTGTGTCCAGAGTCTGTTACCTAAAAACTGTTTCTAAAGTGTTGCTCAAATGAGATCATTCATAAAAAAAATTTAGACAACCTCATTCAGTTCACCGTCGTGCACAGACGTTCAAATCACCGTGGACAATCTTGTCTTTCAGCAAAACATCTCGTGAACCACAAGACAAATCTTAACGAGATTTATTGAAAAGTAATCAGACCTGCAACCGACCTTTGGATTAAACCTCATTCAAGATGGCTGCCGCAGCCAAGTGACCTAAACACTATAAATCAGTTGTAGATCAACCTTATGTTTGGAGTGGTAGCAGCAGAGACTGATCCCCTACGCTGAGGGTTAACCAAATACAGTTTAAATGTTTATTGATCGTTAGAAACATCTTGTGAACATCTGGACGGATTTAAGAGAAACTGTTAATTTAAAATGAACCCAATTCAAAATGGCCACCACAGCTTCCAGGACTAAAGTGGTTGTTAATCTTCACAGATTTTTATCTAAATTATCAAATTTGACCTCGAGTCGAAGAGGCAAACAGTTTTGTTAAATGTATCCAGCAGTTTGTGTGATATTTTACCGACAAGATATATTAAGCATGCAGAAAATCAATGCACAACTGAATTCTTTAGGACATTTGCAGGCGCTTTGATATTAAATATAAATTTGTTTTGACAAATTTTCAGTCTGGAATTTTTTCATAAAAAAAAAAAAAAAAGTGTAAACACTTCATTTCTGTAGGATTTGTGCCTCAAGTGGAGCATTAATACATTCACGGTTGAAAAGTTACTTCCAGGAATGTCATGTTTAGTGTTTAAGACAAAGCGCAGGTTTGAATGCTTTAAATTAAATATGTACATCGGGGGGGGGGGCTGAAGTTTAGGCCAGGTGTTTCCTGAAACGCTCCATCAGCATCTCTGGTAATAATCAGGCGTTGGGTGTGATTTGTTGAGGAAACCCTCTGGTCCAGCGTCACGAGATTCAAACTGTTGGAGCTGCTCTGTTGACTGTACACAGTCGTACTGAACGGATGTTTCTGTTGAAAATAAAAAAAACTCCAGAACCGTTGTAATGGGCAACATTTATTTCAAAGTAACAGGAGTAAACATGAAAACATTGACCTTTGCTGGAAATGAGGGTTGAAGCTCACATTTAGTCGTCCTGTTAAAACCTGTCATTTGAAATTTATAAGGTTTATTTATATACTCTGTCCAGTAATCTGTCGCGTGAAAGTTCTGTTAGTCTTGTTTATCTGGTTCAGCACGTCAGCAGCGGACTGTTGATGCCCTTCCACATCTTTTCAATTTCGTGTGGCAAGCGCTGGTGAATCAGGAGGTTATTTTTGTGCACACATATATTCTCGCGGTCTTGCTGCCGGACGTCGAAGGTCCGAAACCCTCCGTGGCTCTCGGGGGGAATTCCCAGAGCCTTCATGAGCATCCCTATGTAAACGTCGTCGATGGGGAATAACGGGAGTATCTGTGAGACTGAAAACAGAGGCTTCAGCAAAGCTCCAGAGAAGAGAAACCCACCTCCGCCGGCGTATGGGGCGTAGGGGCCGTTATAGAAGCTGTGAGGGATGAAGTACTTGCTTCGAGGGTTCCTGAGGGGACTCGCAGTGCTTATGATCTGCCCAGCATACAGCTGAGAAGCCTTTGAAGCATCCAGAGACTCTGTATATTTAATCAGGTCAGGCGTGTTGATGAAAACGTCGTCGTCCCCGCTGAAGACGAAGGAGAGCGAGGGGCAGTTTTTCACCGTCCATTGGAGGAACAAGTTCATTTTGAGGGTCAGGTTCAGCAAAGACTCATTGAAGTCCCACTGCAGGATGTCTTCGTAGTGTTTGGCTTCAAATGACAGCAGCACGCTGAGGTCAGGGTCATCTGGTGCGGTGTTCCCCATAACGAACACCAAGCGCACCCTCATTCCGCCCTGATACACCCCTTCTCGCCCCCACGTTTCCCGAACAGCCTGCCTCCTCTCAAAGTTTCTCGGGGACGACTTTATGGCAAAAAGCAGAGTCTTGTTCTCCCTCACAGCCCCGACGCACTTATATGGCTGGTCGATCAGGAGCGGGGGGGACTTGCAGTTCAGGCCCCGCAGAAACTCTTGTATCAGGGCCGGGTAGGAGTCAAAATCATGAACGTTGAGTTTCAGAAGCTCTCTGTTCTCTTCCCTGCACACAGACCAGTGGGGCTCTTTTCTTCTAGGGTTCTCACCATTTTCCAAACTCTGCATGGCCGAGTAGAGCAAGCGGTTCCAGTAGGCCCCATTTTTAGGGATCATCTGCCTCAGGTCGTTAGAAACAGTCACAATGTGGACAACAGCGGACAATGTCGTAAAGTCCTTCGACTTGGAGACGTTCTTCAAAGCCCTGACAGTTAAGGTTGTCTCCAGATGGACAGTCATGTAGAAGACAACCAGAAATAACGTGACAACGAGCATGGCGCTGAAGGTTCTGGCTCGTTTCATTGGTTCAGAGGAGGAAACAAGTTAGTCCGGAGTGCTGCTCTACAGGTGAGACATCTTCCAGGGGGAGATACTTTATCTGGTCAAAGGTTACACTTTCTGTCAGGAGTCAACACCCTGGAGGTTCCTGCAAAACAGAAGAGACAAATAATGGTGTTTTGAAAAAACAGTCCCATTTTCATGACTTTCTAATCCTGGCTTCTTGTGCCCTTGCTGACTTTTTGCAACATTCACAGTGAACGTAGCGCTTGGAGAATGTGTTGGGAATGACTCAGCTACACCTATAGCCCAAGACAGCAGGAACTATGGCCGTCTTGTTTTGGCCATAGTCTGTGGCCATGATGGTCGGGGGTATGATTATTAAATAAATAAATCTTATTTGATAACATATGGAAAAGGATTAGAGCCATGGTAAGCATGACAGCTCAGTGGTTAGCACTGTTGTCTCACAACAAGAAGGTCCTGGGTTCAATCCCCAGTTGGACCTGGAGTCTGTGTGCAGTTTGCATGTTCTCTCCATACACGCATGGGTTTTCTCGGGGTACTCCGGTTTCCTCCCACAGACCAAAAACATGCAACACGTTAGGCTGCCTTCAGGCCCAGGCCTCCCTTGCAAAAGAGATCTGCAATCTCAGTAGGATTTGCCTGGTTTAATAAAAGGTTAACAACAACAACTGCACTTTCCAGAATTCTGACTTTAATCTCAGATTTATGCGATTAAAATAGGAAATCTGCCCATTTTTATCTTTTTTTTTTTTAAAGAATTATAACTTAAATCCAATAATTGTGACCTTTTCCTCAGAATTCTGAAGGAAAAATAGTTTGAGCAAAATAAAAAAAAATAAAAAAACGCCTACTGGCACTAATCCTTTTCTGTAAAATTCCACCTAAACATTGAATCGTTTTCTCTAGAAAAAGCAATATTAAAACCTAAAAATAGAAAAAGAAAAGCAGCATTTTTTTGTTAAATTCCTAATTAATTTATGAATAAATCTTACAAAAATTAAAATCAACTATAGTCTGCTCATTTCAAGTTAATCTTTAATAAAGCTGTGGGTGATTGGGGGGGGGGGGGTATCGATAGTAAAGCCTTCCTGATTAAAATAGTCGCAACGCAAAAGAATAAAATATTTATCCAATTTAAAGCCCATTAACTTCCTGCTTGTGGTTTTTGGCAGCTGGCAAACGTATGGTGTACCAAACTGGTATGGAGTGTGGGTCAGAATGTCTATTATCTTATTGTTGTCCATAATCATATTTTATTAATTGGCTTCATTTTCCTGTAGAACCAGACCAAAATTGAATTACATTTTTTTTATTTTTTTTTTATTTTATTATTTATTTATTTTATTTTATTTTATTTACTTCCAACACTTTGCATTTGAGACGTTAAATATTACTTTAATTTTTCTAATTTCCTCCATCATGCATCTGCCTCGTATTTCTGAAACTAAAATTCAGGCTCTTATTGTTTCAGTCTCTCCACAATGTTGACAACTTCCTGTTTCTTCCATACCCATTCTGAAAAACGACTGCGGCATTTCTAATAAAAAGTTTTTGCTGTAAACTTGTAAGAGCCGAACCAACTTGTTTTTAATGGTCTTTTAAACTGTACTGCTAATAATAACAATAACAATAATAATAATAAAACATTTCCCCGGTGTTGATAATCTGTAATTCGTTTCATCTGAGATTCCATTTGTCCTGTTGAGTCTTGATGCATCATGTAAATCTGAATACAGTTTTTATAATATTTATTATAGCTTCCTGCACTGTGGGGTTTAAAAATTAATCTCATTTTTTCTTCTCCATAAGCATTAAATGTTTTATCCGATCCTGGCGCCGTTTTAGTTTTTTCGAGTGCTCAGTTGTGTTCACTAAATAAGGCTTCAATATTTTGTTATAAGTATTTACACTTTGGTTTTGTGGCTGTTTTTCCTCAATAGTGTTACTCATACTAAATGTTTCAGCTAATACTTCAATTTGATCTTTAATAATGGCTCCTTTATTTGTAATCAGTATTGAATATCCATATTTTCTGATACAACTAATTTTTATCGCTTTCCAGATTTTGAGTTTTGTCTCTTTCCCAGTTGGATCACAGAAGTTTTTTAATAGCATCTTTGCTTCCTTAATTATCCTCCTTACAGTCTCTTGCTTTCTTAAAAAAAAAAAAAAAAAAAAAAAAATTAAATAGGATATTTTATGCATTTAATAAAAAGGTTTTATTTATTGACTTCATTATTTGTTAATCACTTTTTCATTCAGTCTTTATTTAAACAGGTTAATCCCATTGAACCCCAGGGACTAATTTACAAGAGCGACCTGATGACAACGGTGAACAACAACAATCAAAGGATGCGTACAAATTGACAAGTGAAAATAAAAATTGTATTTAAAATTATTATTATTATTTTTACAAAGCGCTAGTTTTGGTTGCAATGTAAAAAAAAAAAAACTAAACAAGAACTGCATTTTACTTATTCACCCGTGTACCTGAATGGCCTCCAAAATTTCTAATTTATACCATTTGCTATATCCATTTTTTGTCATTTTTGATCAAATACATTTAAATTTATTCCATTTGGCTTTGTTGAAATTAAAATTTATTTCCTTCTACTTTGCTACTTTGTTTTAATTTGTATTTTAATCTTAATAGGGTAATTATCACTTCACTTTGTTGCATTTTTTAATCAATATTCCATTATAAGCAGAGTTTGATACAAATGTCAAATCAGTTACTGATTCTGCTTCCCGTCCCATTAAAACCAGTTTAACTCCAATGCTTCAATTTGTTGACCATTTTTATCATTTTTGCATCATTTGTCCCCAAAGTGGACGATTAGCAGTGAAACAACCACACATTACCTTTCCTTCCAAACATCCCATCATCTCATTGATTAAAGTGATTGTCTTACACAGGTTATAAAAAAAAATAATCTCAATTTGTATGCATCCTTTGTTAAAACCAGGTTTCTTGTAAATGAGTCCCCAAGGCTCAATGGGATTAACTTGTATAAATAAAAGGTTGTATAGAAACAAAAAGTTTGCACCTTTATCCCATATTTATGCCGCTACATGTTCTAGATCTACTCCTTTTCCCAATACTTGATACTGTACCATTTTCTAAACCCTCCATTTCCCTCTTTTTTTTTTTTTTTTTAAATCAGTCTAGTTTTAAACACGCTTTCTGTACTTTTCCTTTCAATCTTTTAATACATCCCTTACATTCAAGACGTCTCTAGCACCAACATGTGGGTTTATCCCCAAACCTTCCTGGTCTCCCATCCATCTCCAGCCCTTTAATGTTTTTCTCAAGACCTTTCAACCACAAACCTTCTGCACCCTTTGCCATTATTTTAATCTGTTCTGCGTTTCGTAGTTTTTAATAAACTTGAGTTTATCTACAATCTGATGGTTTCATTTGTTTGTTGTGAACTTGATTCTCTTCTATTTTGCCCTAAATATTTGTAGTTATTTTGGATTTGTAGGCTAGAGTTAACCCTGTGTTGAAAAAAAAAAACTATTGCTAGGCATCATTAGAGTTAACAGCCAGTGTAATTTGTAAATTAAACTTGTGAAATGTACTTACAAGCCTCTCTGACAGAAAGCTGCAGGGAAGGAAAAAAAACTGCGCAGACTCTGCGGGGTTTTAAAGGCTCTTCCCGCAGGTGTTCAGGCGAGAAAAACCTCCCGCAGACTGATTTCCACCTGTTCCCTCCACGTCAGCCGGTGTAAAGACTCGAACACGTCCAGGTGCAGAGAGAGCAGGCAATTAACGCGCAAGTGACTGAAGCCACGCCCATTGGAGAAGACCCGCCCACTGACCGATGAGCCACGCCCACCGAGCCCCTCTTTCTACCACGAGTGACGCGTCATCGTTAAGTGTTCTGGTTTGTGTTTGTGGATAATTGATGGTTCGGATGACTCGTTTTGACCGGAACCGGTAGGACAGGTGACCCAACGTGGGCCGCATTCCATTTAGAGCACGTTCTGCTCAGCCCAGGTAATGGGGAAGATGCTTTGTATTTTATTTCAGTAGGGACAAACTATTGCATTTACTCTGTATAAAGAAACCAGAACTTTTTTTTTTTATATATACATTTGATTTAATTTCCACATTTACTTGTTGTTTTTAAACGTTACCCAGCACCGACTTCTGTTAAACTACTTAAAAAAATTATTTTAACACGCTGCATAATAAATTTTAATATTTTTAAACTGTAATATTGTTGCAACACAAGCGAGAAGCAACTTTGAGCCCACACGGCGGGAGCTCTGGTGTAGAAAACAAACGTGCACAAAATAAACATTAATCAACGTGTACATTACAGAAAAACTGTAATCACGTGTCCAACAAGCAGGGCCGGCCCTAGGACCCCGGGGCCACTAGGGGCCCCCTAAGTGGAATTGAATTATTTGGGGGTTTTTTTGGGTAATGATTTCTAGGCTTCTATTACACACCATTTCATTATGAAGTTGTGATTTTGTTTTTACAATATTTTTTAATTTTATTATTTTTTATAATAATATAGCACGTGTCAAACTCAAGGCCCGTGGACCAAATCCGGCCCGCCATTACCATTTCTGTGGCTCTCTACACCCTAGAGCTCAGGGGGTCACAGTTACTGAAACCCAAGAGCTCAGGGGCCGGACATCCAGCAGTTATTGTCATAAGGTTGGTTTACAATTTAAGATCAAGTTTATTTAAAATTAACCCATTAGTGGACTGAACTGAGCACACCTGTGGGCCTGATTGGACCTCCAGTTGAATAGCCCTGCCCTAGAGGGCCACAGAAACAGAACTTCAAGATAACATTTGCATGCTTCAATATTTATCAGTCAAATCAAATCAGTTTTATGTGCATCATGCCAAATTACTCAAACACAAAATATTTAATTTTTAGTAGTGGTCACCAAATGCAGAGAAAGTTATATTTAGTTGTTTTATCAATACGCTCTGCCATGTCCGGCCTTTTGAGGACATTCATGAGCTTGATGTGGCCCAAAATGAAAATGAGTGTGACACCCCTGCTAATGTGAACAGGGCTGTCAGAGTTGCAATAAGTTTATGTTGGGTGGGTGCACGATCTGATCTGTTGATTGAAGTAAATCACATTATTAGCAGAAATAGACGGCCCCAAACCAAATTTTGCTTAGGACCCCATGGAGGTTTGGGCCGGGCCCTGCCAACAAGGTTTAAGTCTGGTCCTCTGGATGGTTCCTTTGTTTCAACACAAAGGAACCATCCAGAGGACCAGACTTAACTTTATTAGATTATCTGGATTATTGAGCATGAAATCTGATGTAATCATGTATATAACTTTATAATCTTCCTATAGAATTGTAGCAGATTAGTTACATTCTGTGATTAAATTAATCTTCTCTCCAAAGCAGGAAGTAGGGGTGCAGAGGGTGCACCCCTCCCCTACTGGATGCAACAAAACATGCTCAGATTATTAGTTAATAATAATAAAAGCCCTCGTGCCGTCCCTCCTCATTCGAGACAAAATGTCTGCCGTGAAAAAACCCGTTGACCCTCAGACGCTCTGCATCCCATCAGAAACGCCTCGATTTCGACCTTCAGCCGAACCCAGCAGAACCAGAACCCCGCCGTTACAGCTGCACTTTAATTAGTTTATTCTAAAGCATGTTATGCAAAATATATTTATTGGATCAAACTGTTGGTATTTCTCTCTTTTCTTTCTCTCGTCCATCATGGAGCAATGAAAACAAAATAAAATCTTTATGATACAAGTATGCTGGTATGAGCTTGTTGCTTGTTGGTATTGCATCCAAAGTCTGAATATTCCGACCCAAACATTGTTCAGCTAACACACTGAGTGCATCGGGGAAATAGTGTTCAAACATACGGTATAAAGACTTCGGGGACTGTTACAGGTGGAACAAAAGGCGAGAGAAAATACTGCTGACTGCAGGAGAGAGAGGCTGGAAGAGCCGACGAAATGAAGGATGCTGCGGGGATGTTAGTGAAAGGCTCGAGGCAACAGCGGCTGTGCAGGCGAGTCAGCGGAGGTCGCTCTCGTCGTCCTGTATGGTCTTCTTGATGCGTAGCAGCATGGTGGTGAGCCACTGGTCCAACCGAGAAATGGTGTCAAACTCCTTCACCTGCAGCACAAAAAGACAGTTGTGCTCATAACGAGGCTTTCTTGTGACAGTCGGCTGTTTAGTTCGGTTTGTTTTTAAAACAGACAGACCCGTCTGCGTAAATAGACGTCAACCTTGTGGGAACGAGGAAGTAAATCCCCGCACATTCCGCTTTACATTTACTTTATTCAGACCCTCGTCTCAAGTCGCGTCGGAAAACACACTTTCAAAGAACTAAACAACATCGGATCATGTGGTGAAAATGAAAATCTGAGGCGTTCAGGAAACTATTTTTTATGGTGTAAACGGCTCAGGAATGATGGTTGTGTCAGTCTGTGGCAGGGGTCGAATAGACTAGTCGACTAGTCGGCTCCAGGACATCTGGTGAGTTTTTAAATTTCACATCGACCAGTCGCAGTCGGTGATTGCGTCACGTTCGGCGCCGGGCCGCTGACTACAAAACAGATTCTTCCAAGCAGAAGGCGAGGAGCAGGCCACGTGTTCCCAAACAGGTAGAAATTCATCAACGGTGTAGAAGTGTTCCATTAAACACAATGTTGTTTTTAAGTTTCATTTGATTTAATTCACAGTAGAACCCACCACTGCCCGCCTCCTGTTTGTAGTTTCATTTGATTTAATCCACTAAATAAAATAAAAACAGAGGTGCGCTCCGCCGGAGAATCCACCACCGCGGAGGTTTATTTTATTTAGTGGATTAAATAAAATCAAACTTAACTTTTGCAGCTTAATAATAAAGTCCATGTTACAATCCAGGTATAAAAATCCAACAATTTTCAGTCGGGTCATCTGGACGGTTTCTTTTTTGTGCCGAGACGTTTTGCCCTCCATCCAGAAGGCTTCATCAGTCAGAGGAAACACCAAACAGCTTGCTTTGGAGTACCGGTAAGCTGTTTGTTCCAGGGGTCTGCAACTGGCGGCTCTGGAGCCACATGTGGCTCTTTGGTCCCTCTGCAGCGGCTCTTTCAAGCTTTGACCAAAACTGAAATAAAACTGAATTTTATTGGTTGTTATAACAACTAAAAGGGCAAGTTTTACCAGTTTTCCTGTAATTTATTTAGCAAATGTATAAATACTAGAAACATTACAAGGAGTAAAACATATTCACTTTCACTTTATGCTTCATTTCTTCAAAGCAGGATACGTAATTTTTCTACAATAAAAATAATTAAAAAAAAATCACATAAGAATGCATAGTTTAATGTTTTAGTTTTTAGAAACTGGGCAAAAACTATATTATTTTTTCCTTCTTTACAAGAATTTTGTCTTTTGTCTTAGAATGTAAAAATATCAATAAAAGTTAAAAATCATCATATTTTTAGTTTTATAAAATCACCCCTGCTGTCCAGAAAAGCGCCCGTCAACAAACTTAAAGTGGTCCGTGGGCCACCAGTTGAGAATCCCAGTTGTAGCAGGTATTGTGGCTCCGGACACGTTTAATTTACTGAACAAAGAGGCAGAAATGTCTCTTTAGATCGTAAAGGCTGCAGACCCCTGCCTCAGACTGATGAAGCCTTCTGGATGGAGGGCAAAACGTCTCAGCACAAAAAAAGAAACCGTCCAGATGACCCGACTGAAAATTGTTGCAGCTTAATAATAGTTTTGGTTTTTCTGTGACTTATTTGCAGTAGGAGCATAAATATATGCTCTCGATGTTGTTGTTGTTGTTTTTTGTTGTTGTTGTAAATAATAAATGCCTTTTTTTTTCCAACTAGTCAACGTCAACTCGACTATTACCATGTTAATGTCGACTTTAAAAAATGTGCAGTCGTTCAACCCCTAGTCTGAGGTGCTTTTATGTTTTGGTCGTGTGTCGAAATGTTTTGGCACTACAGGGTTGGTGTCCGTCTGAAAAACAAACAAAAAAAAAGTTCACTCACCGAATCAGTGTAGGCTTCCACATTCTGTTCTTCATACGCATCGAGGAGTTTCTGATGTAAAAAGAGAATTAAATTAAACGTCCATGCATCGACACGTATGAGATGCTAAAGCTAAATAAAGGCCTAACGTTAATTCCAGGAATGCATATCGCCCGTCGCCTTTGACGGGAGAGTTTCAAACTAAGATTTTCTCATGTTGAGACGGAGTTAAAGTTCAGGTCAAGTCTGGAAAATCAAGTTGTGCGATATTGTGCAAATTTTAGAATTGAATTTGACAATTTGGTTAATTTATAACAATTTTTGTTGATTTTAGACCAAACTTTAGGTTGATTGACACGTAGGCCTGTCACAATAACACATTTTGCTGGAAAAAAAAATTGTCTCAGAAATTATTGTGATAAACGATAAAATTGTTTGCAATCTGACAATAATTAGTAATTATTGTCAAGTTTTTGACCACTAGACGGCAGTATAAGACAGTTTGAACTGAAGGATGGATAGTGAGGGAGCGAGCAGCGTGTCTCTTTAAGAAAAATGGGAGGGAGGCCCCTTGACGTGACATGGGCTGTCTCTCCTTCCTGTTTTTCGGTTCTCAAAATGGCGGACGCTCTGTGTGGTTTGAGCTTTTTAGCATTTGTCACACAAAGCTTTTAATAAAAAAAGTAAACAAGTTCTCAGCTTTTTTTACAGAGAAAAAACAACTTTTTACACGAAGGCACGGGTTTCAACCGTGAATTTTGGAGCTTCGACAAGATGGAGGTTTATTCCCGAGGTCGGCCTGTTAGCTTAGCTTGTAGCTTAGCTTCTCAGCTTAGCTGCTCTTAACGATCCAAAAACACAATTTTAGATGGTTAAAATGGATTTTAAAGAGAAAAGAGAAAGGGAGGGTCAGTGAAGAACACCGGAGTTGAGCCTTTTGTCATCCAGTGTCTTCAGTAGAAAGAGAGAGACAAGAAGAAACGATAAAACCGATAAATGAAAATGAGGTCGACAATTTTCATGTATCATGTGATTAATTGATTTATTGTTTACCGTGACATTTATACGTTATTAGAAGTACCGAAACTGTGTCTCGCTGACTCACTGTTCTTGCTCGAAGCACAGCCCCGTCAGAACTACTGTCTCACCGGGTATGCGCCAAGTTTTGTGCGAGCAGTCAGAACTTTGTTGGCATGTTTAAGCGGGAAAGTGTCTTTCACTTCAACTGCTCCGCGGAGGAGCAGCTGGCCGAGGCCGTTAGGAAAAAACAGCCATCTTTACAACTGCTCCAACAAAACTTCTGAAGGTGGTCAAATGAAACTTATAAAGACGGTACATGGACGCAGCTCTGTGGTTGTGCACGCCAGGTGGAAGTGCGTACGCCTTGGCAGGACAGCAGGCGGTCTTTTCGTAACAGACTTGCACATTAGTGCTTCTCCTCGGTTAACAAGAGAAATACCAGAACTTCCTCCTAAATCATCAACTGAAAATAAACACCCACTCTGACACCCTCTGTGTCGTTTCTGTTTGACCTGACGGGAGCTGCAGTGGGCGGGGCTTACCAGGACGTCCCCTCCAGTTTCTTTGAGTATAAAATGTCTCAATGACATCAGCAAGACTGGATGGCTTACATCTTGTGCAGTATAAATCCACCTTTAGCCCAATTTTAGACGTATATTCAAATATTCACTTAAACTTCTTCTTGTTTCTGGAGGACTTATTAACTTGTTTGCGTTAAAAAGTTTTCTAACCAAAGCACGAACAGAAACGCCTACCTTCACAAGTTTGCACTCCCGAGAGTCAGAGAACGCTGGAAACATTTCTTCATACTTCTGCACAGCGAGCTGGGTGATGGACAGGAAGAATTTTAGGACAGGCGTTACGACATCTCTGCAGAAGAGTTCGGTTGTTCGGCGTCTTTTACCTTGGCGTTCAGCATGTCTACACAGAAATGACACAGCGCTGCTTTGAAGAAGTGATCCTTGGCACTGTACTTCAGAAGCGTACTGTCCATCGCGTAGGTGCCAACCTAAACACACACGAGAGCTTCTGTTAGTTTTGCTGCCTCTGAAGTGACAGACGGAGCGATGAGCGTCGTCTCACCTGTTCATAAATCTCTATGGCTTTGGGGTACTGCTCCAGCTGAGCTGCGTAGGTCGCCACTTTCAGAAGGCACTTGTTTGCTGAGCTGAAAACATAAAATCCAGAATCTCATCAGTCGACGCGCGAGTAAAGGCGTTCGTTAACAGAATGCGTATCGCCCGCTGCTTTTCACGCCAGAGTTTTAGTCTTGAATCGACTCGTCACGAGAAGGGACGGTGACTTTGGTCAAAAATCATAAATGGTGTTCGGAGACGTAAAAAGTGTTGGAGATGACCGTCAGCTACCACCACACCAGATTTTAGCTCAAAGTCAGTAAAGTCATTTTTGTGTTGAATAAGTCTGATTAGCTGTGGCGGCCATCTTGAATTGGGTTGATTTCAAACGGTAATCAGCTGCAGATGGACGTTTTGTAAACAAGAGCACCGCTCGACTATTATACAGCAATCTATAGCAATGGCCTTATAGACCATATATATAACTTTTGACCTTGATTTGTAACCATGACCTTGAAGCTGGGTTGTGGAAAAGTGTACGTGTCTAGTGATGATGTATTTGTGTATGAATCATAAGTTATAATAAAAGTTTACAGACGTGCAAAGACCATAACGTGTCTGCCGTTCGACAGGCTTAAAAAAAAAATATCAGTGGTTTGTGAGTATTTTGCTAACAGACAGACGCAGACAAATCCTAAATGTCACATTCTTCTATCCAGAAAAACGTATAGTTTAAGTCAAATAATCACCTGGTGGATTCTTCACCTTTGTAATAATCGGCTGCTTGTTCATAATGAGCAATGGCCTGAAAAAGACAAGAGTAAATCGTTAGATCTCCAAGAAACGGTTTAAAAACGGTTTTCATTAGTTTCCTGTCGGACCTTGTCGATGTCCACCAGCTCTGTCTCGTAGATCTCCGCGATGCTGATGTGGTGTTTGGCTGCGATGGTGAAACGACCCTGAAGTTAAAAGATACCAGACAAAAAATAAATAAAACAGTCAAGAGACAGAAAAGCCCCCTTATATCTCTTCTAAAGAATAAACTCAGAGGAGTCTCCCTGAACGTCAACTCACCATATCCGTGTATATCTCAATCGCTCGGTTCAGACAGTTTATAGCCTCTGGTGAGAAAAAAAAAAGTCAAACAGAAGTTGATCGCTGTGGAAAATACAAGTTCAGACCGTTGAACAATTTACTTCAGCCTAAAACTTTATGAAGTTTTGTGTTAAAGATGACTTGTTTGTTCTCAAGATTTATTGTACGCTGTATTTATATTTTTATCAAATTTCACCACTTAAGAGTTAGAAAATCCAGACCCGCTTAACAACAAGAACACCTTTAAAAGGATTGAATGTTTTATGAAGAGGTTATTTGTGAGGTTTTAAATACATTACAAAAGATTAATAAGCATTTATAAAACTTTTACAAAATACTGTTCGCACGTCCAAGCAGGCTCATGCAAACGCTGAACTTTTACTCATTCAGGTAAATGTAATTCATTGCTGTTTTAAAACTAATTCAATAACTTTATGTGCCGCTCACATGCAGGTGACTTCCTGACAAATGTTTGATAATTAAAATCTAAATTAAGATGATTACTAGGAAACGTTGGAAAGAAACAAGTCAGTCCCATTTCAGCTGATTTTATTTGCCTAATTGAATCCTAATCTTAGATCTGGTTTTTAAGGCAAAAACTAATATTTTAGCTCCTTAAAGAAACACATCTACGTGCTGTGGATCTAAACCAGCCTACTTTGAACAAACATCCTGCAACAGACGGTCCCCCTCTTACAGAGCCCTGATCAGGGGTCAGTCTGACACAGACCACAAGTAAAACATGACAGAGCTTGAATTTTAAAAAATTAACCTGAACATTGACAAATCAGAAACAGACAATCTGCAAACCAATTTTTCTGCATTTTCCACCTCTCTAACCTTTTATTCAGATTGTAAATCTGGTGAAAGTTTCAGGAGTTAAATCCCTTGCTGTGATGATTAAAGGCAAACTCCATCCAAAGACGTGACAATGTCTCATTTTCGTGAATGAAAATTGCGTCGTTTTGTTTTCAGAGCAGCTTCGCCCGCCCCTTCTCGACACAAGGCCCGGGCCGAACTTTTTCTCACAGGCGTATACGCCAACTATTGTGTGATTGGTCAGAAGTTTGTGGGCGTGTTTGCTAATGCGGAAATGCGCTCGGACATTCAGCTGCACGACTCTTCAGCTCGTTAAAATTAGTCAAATGGACAAAAACTCCTGGAAGGAGATCGTGCAGACATCGTGCACGGAGGAGTCTGCCTGCTGAAAAGTGTGTGGCGCTCTCTTCATGATAGATTTGTAGAGTGGAGACTCTGGCAGGAAGAAACCTGTGCAGTGAGGTATACTACAGTGGGAAGGGGTTCCCAGGAGCGTCTATGTCTCGTGGACTATACGTGTGAGTGAAAACAAACGTCCCGCAACCACGAGTCGACTGTTCGTCTTCAGACGGAGTATGCCGGGCCATTAAAGATTACCTTGTGGGTCGGCTTTTTTGAAGGCATTTCCAGCATCTATGAGGTTGGTCGCTGCATCGTGTTTGCTCTGCATCTGCAGGTGGAGATGAGCAGCCTGGGAGAAAGCGTTTCCTGCAGCTGAAAGGATAAAGTTACACGGTAAAGGAGTGAACGCATCAACAAACATGAACGAGTTTTAAAAAAGAAAAAAAGAAATGCTCTCTTACCACACCAGTTTTTAGCCATTTTGTACATGTTGGCTGCCCTCACATACAAATCACAGGCCTCTTCCAGCTTAGAAGAGCCCCTATGTGACAAAAAATAAATAAATAAACAAACAAACATACCAAAAGCTAAACCACAACAGAACTGAAGAGAATGTTCTTGTAGTTTAACGACACTAAACTGAGCTGGACTATCATTCAACAATATTATTAATCTTTTTTTTCTATATATAATAAAGAACTTAAATGATACTTTATGTAGTTTATGTTGTTATAGTTCAATACTGCAAACATTTATTCAGTAAGAACATGCATTCAGAGTTGGAAACTACACGATTTTGTAATAAATTGATTAAATTTCAGTAAATTCGCTAAACAAGACTGCCTAAATCTAAAGCCAAACCACAACTCTTCATTTTGTTGTACTTTAAAACAGCCAGACATTTTTGTGATTTCTTAAAGAAGTCTTGGTGGTTCTTCTGGTTTTTGAAGTTTGTCTTTGGACATCTGTTTTCAGTTTGATATTTTCAGGGGAACATGCTTGTTAGGCCAAATACCTTTAAATCACTTACACGCAAAAAGCTTCTCGTTAAAAAGAAGAAGAAAAAATGAGTTTTGTCTAAATGTAACAGACAACTGAGCAAAGTAGGAGGTTTGATTTTTATCAGACTATTTTTTTTAGCAGCAGCCTTTGGCAAAAAGCAAATGACGGTATTAGTTTCTTTTTTATTTGTTCTTTAGTTCCACATACCAAAAAGGCACCATTTAGCAGGCATTTAACTATAACATTTGGAATCGCACACAAATCACTTGGAGGATACATCTCTTAGGTTCTGTATTTCATTATTTAAAGAACATTTTTAAACTCAGTGTTATTTAGACCTGACACTTTCAGTTTTGCCCTTAATTTTTACAATCAACCCTTTCAGGACACACTGAGGTACTGAGAAGTGTTGGTAGTTATTGTTTCGTCCTGTCAAACTGATCTTTTTGCAGTAATATTCAACTACTTCATAATACATTGTTAAATCGGCACTGCTGGTCAGTAGACGTTATTATACCTTTTGTTTTTTGTTTACAATTGACTTTTGTAAACAAATGTGACAAACACGTGACTTGCAATGGACGAGCCTGCCAGCAGGGGGCGCCAGAGCAGCGACACCACAGCAGGTCGTCTTCAATTTTTGAATTAACAGCTTGTATTTATGTTTTAACACAACCTGTTAAGCTTCTGAAAGTTTTCCCACTGTATCTGGTCCAAATAAAGCAACAGTTTAACTGTGCTACCTGCCAACAACAATGATATTATATTTGTTTCCAGACGTGCAGACATCCTGCAGATAACAAAAAAATAATTCACATCTGTGAACAAACACGTCGACTTGAACATAAAAACGACAGCTCCGGTGATGTTTTTGTCGTGTCATCAGCAGGTCGGGTGGAAACTGGCCACCTTCCGCATAGCTGGCCCTCAGTTTTGACACCAGAAGCTAAACAAGCTAGCTAGCTGACACATACTCACCCAAACAGCGCCCCGAAAAACGACTGAGAAGATTTTAATTTCTTCTCCGCCTCGGCCATTAATGCCGACGCTTCCTTCTCTTTCCCGCTGTTGTCCATTTTATGTTACTTTTTATTTTCAGCCCGGAACGTAAGGAGGAACGAGTGAAGCGAACGTCAACAAAGTTGCTATATAGTAGAGCTAGCAGCGGCGTAACATCAGCAGCCTGAGCAACGTCTCCCCTGTCACGTGACACTAGAGACTGGGGGGGTGGGGGGGGGGGGGGGGGGGGGGGGGGAACTAGAATGCTGCATTCAGGTGTTCCTCGGACATAGTCCTTATTACCTAATTTATTTTTCTTTCTTTCTTTCTTTCTTTCTTTCTTTCTTTCTTTCTTTCTTT